TGGAAATAAAATAAAATTCTCACCCCTTCTCCTTCCAGGCAGAGATTAAGTGCAGCGCGTATAGGACTCTTCAGTTTTTGTTGGCAACCAATTTAGGAGAATGAGATCTCCGAATCCAAAAGTGGCTTGTAACTCTACTACGTAAAAAAAAAAAATGATTTCCTATAAAAACCACTGCAGAAATACTTATCATGATGAAGATGACACTTTGCACTTAAAGATTATATCTTCATACAATCATATGTGAGAAAAGCTTCTATTTTGACATGTTTCGGCGCCTTTATCAGGATATGAATTTCATTTGAAAAAAAATCTCCATTAGTTGGTAACAATGTGATTTATGCTAAACTTTTGAATGTAACTTTAACAGTAATGTTTTAGAATTTATATTTTTGATTAACTTCACCTATGTTTTAATTTTTTTTTTAATTTTATTTATTTTTATATTCACTTCTCTCAAGGTTTTCGAAATCTGCGTTCTTTCAGTACCAATTCTGCCAGAACAGGTCATAAACAGAAATATACAGTTGTATATTAATTGTGGGGTACAAATATTTTGTGCTTTTAATGTATCTTCATTTTTATACTATTGTTTGACTTACACAAGACCCAGGAGCCAATCAATGATAAGCTGAAATCGGTAACGTGTGTGGTGAGGATCCAGTCAAAATAAGGAATATGCTCCCATATTTACTTTGTGAAGTGATTACATTGAATCAATTTCTCGGTCTACAACAAGGAATGTTGGTTCAATGTCGTTCCAGAGAATTTATCTCGTCAGAATCCATCTTACACATTTATAAGTCTACCATTCTTCCTTTCATTTCATATTGTTACCATATCTGGACTGGTGATCCTATTATATATATTGAGATTCTTGACAAAATTCAAAGAAGGGCCCGTAATGTAATCGATCCTAGCATCTCGACACCATTTTCTCACCGACACAATGTGGATTCCCTCTGTCTTTTCTACAAATATTTTCAAGAAAATTGTTCTGAGGAGCTTATCTCCATGGTGCCTCGACTGCATATATTTAAGCGTGCTACTAGATTGGCAATTAGGTCTCACTGTTTTAATGTATCTGAATAGTTCATAATTAGATATAATTGTAATTTCTATTCTAATTTTTTTCGTACTTTTCGATTGCGAATGTCTCTTCCGGTTTTTTGCTTACCTGCAAAATACAAACTTCAAAAATTTACATGCAACGCCAATTGACATTTTCTGTCTCCCTAAAATGGAGTATTGTTATCATATTTGGATAGGAGCTGCCCAAAAAGAGCCCAAAAGCGTCTCCGAGATTTTGTGGATGACGAATTATCTTTCGACCTCCAACCTCTTTCTAACAGGCGGGATGTGCTTAGCGTCTCACTGATTTATCGCTACTTCCATGGAAAGTGCTCGGACGAACCTCATTCTTTGGTTCATCCAGGTCTACCCTTCACGGCTGGGATGCCACCGACATTGTTGCAAATCATTACACAGTACCTCCGTATTCCATTGTTGGGAAATAATTTCCGCTCGAACAACTTCTTCCAGTGAAGTGAAACTCCGCGGAACCGACTCCAAAGATGATGGTTCCCCGATCACTACGACCTTAACCGTTTCGAGTCTAGCGTTAAGTGTTATCTTTCTCTCCTATCCGCATAAGCTGCCTCTTACTGTATACCTCTACCTGGGCATTTTACAGGGTGAACTCCACTATAAAAAAAAAAAAAAAACACCCACACAAACACTCACTTTTCACTAAAGTCTTCTCATTATCTTTCATTCCCAGTAACTCCATGTGACCTAGTGGCATTATCGCCTTGTTTGTGGCAAATTATTAAAAAAATGAGAGGAAGGGAAGGTCTATCTACACCAACCAATAAAAAATAGATATCATATTATCTATCAAAATGGTTGGCGGACGCTTTATTCTACTACAAACAAATGAAACTTTGAAAACAATGAGGAAAGAAACAGTAAGGGCGTATATAGAAGAACGTGACGAAAGTCTATATGAAAAAAGCTATAAAATACGCGCTTTTCTGTCCTGAAAGATAAAAGACATACAAAGGAAAGGATACACAAAGGAAAGGACACGAAAGGAATGGACACACGAAGATAATTTTTGGTTTCAGTTATTCATCACGACTGATATAATTTTAATCTGAACAGCATATTTAATATACAGTTAGGTTAAGTTGCAACATGTATACAGCATTCTTTACACCGTTAGACAAATTCATAACGTCAAAAATACATACTTCAAGAGTTGGATGATTATGGCTCTCCCCAGATTCCCATCTTTATAGCTCTTAATAAGTTTTGCCTTACCCTCTCTTTCGATCTCCATTTTCTTATCCATTCACATAATCACGACAGGTATATGACCCACCACACACTGTAGATTTTGCATTCATTATTTCCTGAGAATGTCAAAGTTTTCAGTCACAACTTTCTCATTATATGTCCTTGTAATTTAATCTGATTTTTCTGATTCTATGTATATCGATTGATTGATTTTTTTCTAAGGCTTATCAACCCTTTGTGGGTTACGTAAAACCGAAATACATTCTGAATTGTGAGAATATTTTTGGCGAGTGAGTATTTCATTAACATTTTTTTAGCGTAACCAGAGCTCCCAATGTATTTTAATCATTTTTTCATATAGACGATATTTGAGGAAACAAAACGTTCAGTTGATACGATATTTCTTTTTAATATTTTGTAATTTTTAGATTAGACAAAGTTGGTCACAGAGAGAAAATAGAATCCCTAAAAATAGTGGATGATTAATCCATTTTTAAGAGAATATATCAGCATATATATATATATATATATATATGCTGAAATATTCTCTTAAAAATGGATTAATCATCCACTATATATATATATATATATATATATATATATATATGAAAAAAATATACAGAAAAAAAACAAACAAAAATCCGAATATGCAATTATGCTGTTTCAATGTTAGACGTTTCGGTCTAGTTGACCATCTTCAGGACATATTCATAAAACATAATTAACATTAGACTATATTCAATTCAACATGAAAAGACGATGGACATAAGAGTAAGACTGATCAAAACAAATAACTGGAATTATTCAAGATCTGCGTTCCGTTTCACGATATGATCACGTCGGCGTCACGTGGGCGATGTTGTGAAAACGTATTCCTAAAATAGAGTATTTTGAATGAAAAATGAAAAGAATCTTATTTTAATCAAAAACATATATGTACGTTTGTCGAGCATTAATCTTGCTAGAAAAGGGGAAATATTAAAGAAGCCGGGCCTAGTATTCACCGTGCGTGAGATAGATATTATGCCTGCCTCATAAATCCGTCTAAGATTTTTTATTATGAATATATTTTAAAATCTTCACTGAATCAAAATCGAAATTATGATCAGATTTAGCTGCGTGCACAACTAAAGCATTGTTTACTCTTATGTCCATCGTCTTTTTATGTTGAATTGAATATAGTCTAATGTTAATTATGTTTTATGAATATGTCCTGACGATGGTCTACTAGACCGAAACGTCCGACGTTCACATTATATGCGGAGTGCTCTTGATTGAGCCTTCACCACAATAGGTAGGGTAGAGAAGATGAGATAGACAATAATAAACTCCAGAAGAAGTCAAAATTGATCGCAGCATTTAAGTACTGCATTAATGTTTAAACCTACCTTTTAAAAATTCAACGATAATTCTTCTGTCGCTACTTAATTTAAACACAATTTGATATACGTATGTCTTTACTTTCTTATATAATGGAATATGCATACACCTGTGTTCCCCACACTGAATATGATTGGCTGGTGTCCGTCATAAATACCGACGGATGTGTACGAGAGTCAGAGAGCCATAGTCTGAGAGCTAAGTCTATAACGACGCCCATTGGACTACGCCATTGATCTACACCTTCTTACCTGCGACTACGATGCATACCAGTCGATTACTGCTACCGTATTCTACTTGGTTATAGTAGCCAAAACCACTTAGCTACTTCGTTCAAATATATCCCTTTCCGGGACATATCACTTTCCATACAAAAAACTATTTTTATTTCATGAGTGACTTTTACTGGATTTCGAAATAAATTATGATTATTCCCAAATTTATTTCCAAGTAATAAAAAATGTTATCATACAAAAATTCTAACCTAAGTAATCACGTTAAAAACTTGGAAATCCAAAATTTCAGGATTGCGGGACTGGATCCGACTAAAAATATTGTTAGGTTACTCACGAACTCAGCCTGATATGTTGGGCTACGGCCGCTCAAAGTAAAGTTGAAAACACGGACAATTTTATTTTCAAACACTGTAATTTGAGAACAGTATTTATTTTCATTTGAGCATGAGCTATTGTAAGATATAGAGTTGTGTCCCTTTAATTGTTTTTTATCAGTACAAGGCAAGATGGCGGAACCTGAAAGCAATCACAGTAATGAAAACTTGGTAATCCAAATTTTCTGGAATGCGCGTCTAGACCCGACCCAGAATATTTTTAATTTGCTCACTGAGTCGGCCTGATTTCAAAATGGTATATTATGTTGTGCTACGGCCTCTAATTGTAAAGTTGAAAATGTGTAACACAGTGACAGAATGACATTCACATTTATCATATATATATATATATATATATATATATATATATATATATGTGTGTGTGTGTGTGTGTGTGTTTGTGTGTGTTTATAAAAGAAAACAAGCAGTTTTTACAACATATTTATGTATCTATATTTATTAATGCCAGATTAATTAAAAGAATGTCACACTTAACTTATTAAAAGAGAAAGATGAGATTATGAATAGATTAGGACAGGGGGAAAATCTGTTCAGGCAGAATAGATAGATAGATAGATAGATATGAACAGGTTTAGAGACATATGAATAGGTTTAGATAGATAGATATGAACAGGTTTAGAGAGATATGAATAGGTTTAGATAGATATGAATAGGTTTAGATAGATAGATAGATATGAATAGGTTTAGAGACATATGAATAGGTTTAGATAGATAGATATGAACAGGTTTAGAGACATATGAATAGGTTTAGATAGATAGATGAATAGGAATAGTTTTAGATAGATAGATAGATAGATATGAATAGGTTTAGATAGATAGAGGTTTAGAGACATGAATAGGTTTAGATGGATAGATAGATATGAATAGGTTTAGATAGATAGATAGATATGAATAGGTTTAGATAGATGATGTGAATAGGTTTAGATAGAAAAGAAAGGTTTAGATAGATAAATTGAAGATAAAAGGTTTAGAATCAAAGATGAATCTGTGTAATTGGAGGATTGGATGAAAGAAAGCATTTAATATCAGAGAAACTTTGAATGTCTAGATAGATAGATGGTAGATAATATGAATGAAAGGTTTTTAATGATGGGGTGGAAAAAAATTGATTTATTTTTGCAGGACGCCCACGGTGGATGTCAAATAAGGAAATTATACACCTGTCTCATTTGTGTCTGCCTCTTACCTGATTCCTTTACGACCACCGTCTGACTGGACATCTGCAACAGAGAGCACGCGCAAAAAGGTAATTCGAAACAGGAGCACTGACCGACAGACATTTCAAATGAAAAAAAGAAGGGAATGAGAACGTTTGGAGAGATGGTTGGCCAAGAGCATTTCTGGAAGTACACTGATCACGTTTATTTTTTTATTTTTTTCCAATCATGTTTTTTTTTTCCAATCTTCTTTAAAGTTTGTTGTTTTTCTTTTTTCTTTACAGTTTTTTTTTTAAATAACTGACGCGCTACAGTAATTAATACTTCTGTGTCTAAAAATATAAAAAAACGCAAAGGTGTATTAACCGCACCTGTATTTCAACAGAGCACAGTCAAAAAAAGAAATTACAGTGAATTTAATCAGCGTTCTTTTCACAGTGAAACATGTGCTAATCCAAAAACTATTGGTTAATAAAAAAAAAAAAATTTGTTCATTGCAAAACTCGAAAGCTTTTTTCAAGCAGATGGCTACTTCCAAATAGTTATGGGGAATGAACTGTGTGATATGAGTGAAACAGTACGTTGTATGAAGTTAGGATTAATAGGATAAGAACATATAAGGTTTGATGGCATTTAAAAGAAGACGCTAAAAAGAAGCATTTAACGTTATCAATGCTATGGTACGTTTGGTTGAAATATGCAGCTACAGGAGATTAATTACATTGTCTTTAATAGATTCTTAATGCTATTAAACCGAAAACAGGATTCTGTACCCGTTTCCCCAATATAATTTCATTTTTTGCATTTGTTTCAAACAAGTAAATATATTATAAATGAACTGTCAAAAGTCAAAGGATATATATGTATAAAAAAATATACGTACTCCGAGATGTCGAGAAATGTTAGCAATATAAATGATTTGGTTTGTTCCGATATTAAACACTTGAAATGGTAGCAAAACTAGTAGAAAAGGAATTGTTAAAGGATACGCCGTTTCTAGTGGCCATGAGGTTAATGAAAATGATTACAATAATAGATAAGAGTCTGAAATCAGTGACACGAAGTAGGTTTGAACACACGTAAAATGTAATGAACTGTTTGAAGCAATTATAGACTTATCACCTGCCTACATCTGATAGTAAATAATAACCGAGCTTATTTCGTTTAAAGCAAATATTATTGAAAGAACCGTAATATTGCAGAAGAGGGATGTAAGAGCCAAAATTTTTTTATTATGTATCGATCACATGATTTTTAACATGAAATGATTTTAATATCCATTTCTTGAGAATAAGTTATGTGCATACAAGGAATGATATCTTATAGCTTTTTGATTTGTTTTTCTTTGTTTTGTTTTTTTTGGTTTTTTGACATGGAATGGTTAAAATTCTGGTGTTCCAGGACGTGGACGTAGTTTATCGTCATACCCAGGACGGTTTAGCAATTGAAGTATATATATATATATATATATATATATATATATATATATATATATATATATATATATATATATATATATATATATATTTGGTTGGATAGATGTGAGTTTGTGACCCTGGGTTTCACGCTTTTAGCGATCGTAGATTTGTCTGACGATCGCTAAAGCGTGAAACCCAGGTCACAAACTCACATCTATCCAACCAAATATGTTAGTTTCTATCTCTGATATTGAGCGTATTCTAATAAGTACCCGCGCATATAATATATAAATAATTATACATATATATATATTTATTTATATTTATATACACTTTTCGCACACACACACACACACACATATATATATATATATATATATATATATATATATATATATATATATGTGTATTTTTGACACTGTTATAGAAGCCTCATAAAAAAAAAACAACTGAAAATATACTGCTATTAAGCTTTTGTTAATTTATTATTTAATTCGTCCAAGTGATTTCTTTCCTGATCCATGGATGGCACGATTTGGCAAGGACTTGCCGATGAACTCTGATATATGTCGAATTCATCCAAAGTTGATTTCGAGAATGATTCCACAATCCCTCATTGTGCACGGATTCAATTGTCCCCGAGGTACTGTTGACATGTAGTTATTACTGAGTATAGATATTTCTTGCAAAGTGTTCAATTAAAATGGATAATTTTTAACTTAAGAAACAAAATTAGAAATAAATATAACTAATTTAATTATTATTTTTTATTGCGAATTATATTCTTTGTGCTAATAAATAAATCATAAAAAGTATACTCTTTTTTCTGATCATCATAATTCAAGCGCGTCACATATGTTTAACTATAGATTCAAGTGTGTTATGAGATAAAAAGGTTGAAAAACTAGCATGTTAGTGGCCTACACTCGCAGGCTATTGCGAGTAATTTTATTGTCTTCAAACATTAATCTACTAATGTGTCTTCCCGATTGTAGTTACTTTCCAGCCAATATCTGAGCCAAGTAAAAATACTTGCATGAAAGTCATAAATTACTCAGGGGATGTGTGCGAATTTATGGATCTGCCTTCACATTCACATGTCGTCCATTTTCGCTTTGGACAAGACCAAATCCGATTAGCAAGAAAGAGTCCTCCATCTTCCGTGGCACTGACGCCATCTTCCCGTGACCGCCGATGGTTTGTTCCAGGTTTAAATAACCAGGCCTAAATTTGCGTGCAAAAAGCCATTCTCGCATAGCCTTGCAATCTATTTATTCGCCATTTAAATATGGTTGAACAATTATCGTTTCTGACACTGAATATTTTTTTTAAAGCCATTTTCTCCAGAACGTTTATACGGCAATAGATACAGCTTGTCAAATCGGCAGGAAGAAAGAAAGAAAGAAAGAAAGAATGAATGAAAGAAAGAAAGAAAGAAAGAACGAAAGAAGAAAGAAAGAAAGAAAGAAAGAAAGAAAGAAAGAAAGAAGGAATAGTGTGAACAAGCAAAAATGAGGGAAACAGAATAAGTAAAAGATTCGAATTATGCCTAAGATAAAAATTCAAAAACTCAAATTTCTGTGAGTTTTCTTTCTGAACTTTGTTGCCTAGTTGGGTCATCTGTTAGAAAGAGTAAAACGTTCACCAGTATTGGACAATGCTGGTTGAATAATTATCGTTCCTGACACAGAAACTTTTATTTACAGACATTTTCCCCAGAACGTTTTTACGGAGAAAGATACCGCTTGCCAAACTGGTAGAAAAAAATATTAGTGTGCAAAGGAAAACAGAACCAGTAAAAAAAAAGTGTTCAAATTGCGACTAACATAAAAATTCCAAAAACTTAAATTCCGGTGTGTTTTTGTTTTTCTTGTGTTGGTCAGCTTTTAGAAGCAATTAAATTTTTACCATGATTGTTCTACGCTGGAACAACTTGAAAGGTTGGAGATATACCTCAAGTGAACTTGAACAGTTAACCGAGGATATCTCTGCAAATATCAGACTACCAGCGCTTGAATTTGTTTTTTCCTATCTATTTACTTGAAATATTTTCTAGTCAGACGAAAGCATTATCTTACAACCATTGAATTACAAATTAGTATTAAAACACGCCGAAACATACTCTCGCTTACCCTACATAAGCAGACATGTTCGGAAATTGCCAGAGGACATATTTTTTTATTAAAAGACTCCCAAAAAGCCAGGCAGACACAGGAAAATTATATTCTTTAAAAGCATAGATATCTTTTCAAATACGTTTATTTACCAAATAAAACATATCTGGTCATAAAAATAATATCGGATAGGAAAAAATCAATTAATTCTTAAGAAAAACTTTGTTTTCATTTCGAATACGAAACTAAAGTTAGCAGATGTGAGCCTCGAAAATTCTTACGCAAGAGAAGCGCTTTCCTTCATAACGGAGATTGACCTTTACTTTGTGGTTGTCATTCGTAGCTAAGCGGTCTCTAATGGTTTCCTTGATGTAAGGGGCACACCGGTTTGAATATTGAAAAATGACATATTTACTTTATATATGACTCTCGAAGAAACGAAAACCGGTACAGGTAACATGTTCTGCTTATATGATGTCTACTCAGACACGAATATCCACTAAAAAGAACGTATATACTAATACGAAATATATATACAGTAGTACCTTGACATACGAGTGTCGCGACATACGAGCCGGAGTTTGGCCGATTTTTTTGCGTTGAGATACGAGCAGACTTTTGAGATACGAGTTTCAATTAAGGATCCGCATAACATGTGTTCACTTCTGCACTGCAAGGACCTCTGTTGTGCCGTGGTGTCTCTTTTTGCCGTTATTCTGCAAAATTACATTAGTGACACAATGGGTCCGAAGAAAGTAAGCGGAAAGAGCAGTGTTGAATATTTAGGAACCTGGAAGAGATTGGAAATATTCCCTTTATATTCAATCGGGAAAATTTGTTGGAGATGCAAGTCTTTTGAGTTCGGTTTTGGAACGAATTAAACTCGTATCTCAAGGCATAACATTATATATATGTATACTAGCAGTAGAGCCCGGCGTTGCCCGGGGATATAACAGTAAGAGATAGATCAAGTATCCACCATCATAAAGACTGAAAAATAAAAATGACAAAGATTATTGTTTAAGTTTGACGGACACGCATGTCTTAATTAGTTTTTTTTTTTTTTTTTTTACGAATTGGTCAAACCCAAATTCAAACAAAAACATTGTTTTTAATCGTTATGTGTCTACTGATTGAATAGAAT